GATGGCTGGAGGGGTGCAAGTGCCTGCAGAGGGCTGTATTTCTCTGCCCCGGGCAAATTTTCATGTGGAGCTAAATGGTAAAGGTGTGATGCCCACCACATATTGATTAAAGCCCTGTGTTCTGCTTGGAAGAAAGTAGCCTGAATTTGCCAGCCCTTAGCAGAGCCTTGTGTTACCAAAAGCTGCTTTGCTGCTGAAGGAGAGGGCTGAGCTGGGCTTGGGTTCTTTACCAGACCCACGCCTTTAAACAAGGCCCTTTTAATATTCCCACAGTATGGCTGTGTACCCAGGCAATACCATTCACGCTGAGTGGAGCTGAGCCTGTGTGAATGGCAGCACAAATACAGTAAATAAATCTTTCTTGATTTTTTTCAAAGGGAAAAGAAAAATCCCTCGACGCTGACATTTGCAATAGACATTATCTGCTCTCTGACATTTGGGCTCACAACCGAGGTCGACCAAATTTCTGTTCTTAACTCATCCCACTGTCACAGACAAGATATGAACTGACTGGCCGACCCTTTCTCTAAATAGCAGCGCACCTGCTCCTCGCTCCCAGCACGCAGGTTATGAAGACTGGTACTTATTTCAGTGATGACAAACTGAGCCGCAAGAAAATAAATGAGGCATCCTCGAAAGCGTCTGGCGGAGCAGGGAACTGACTGAGGGTCTCCTATAGCCCAGTCTTGAACCATAATGAATTTTTTTTGTTGTTGATCCCACAGGTATTCAGGAGGGCTGCATGCACTGGATCAACAGCGCTAGCTCTGCACCAGCAACCTGGGAGGAGCAGTGCATCATGTTAGCAATGGCTGCTATGCAGCTGCACCCTCAGCAAGGAGGTTCGGGACAGCAGCCGTGACCATGCTGCCTGTGCTGCGTGTGTGGGCAGGGGCGTCTTGTGGCTCAGGAGCTGCCGGTTCCTGCCAGCAAGGCTGCTTTCCTCAGGCTGAGTGACAGTGGTGACGCCACATTGCTGTCACTGACATCCAGGCACAGCTTTAAAAGGACAAAGAATCAGGACAAGGTTTTCATAACTCCTTTGCAGACAGGTCAGTTGAAGCAGCATTAACAGCGGTTTTATGTGTCTGCATTAGCCCAGTGGGGAATGGATGAACAGAAACAATACAACCTTGCTCTAGGCTCAGCAGTTGGGTGCGTAAATGTAAAGGTAAATGGACAACCATAGAGCTGAGAAATTCGAGGTTAAGACAGGAGCTGAGGCAGAGCACAAAGAGCAGAGGGTTTGCCTGATCTCCCCCCACTCCCCTTTTCTTTGAGAGGGGACTCAAAATGGCAGCGTGTGCTTCAATAAAATTTCATTTCTAAAGGAAGAGAGTGACAAAGATATATTTGACACACGATACTCCTGTCCTGCTGATCTTCATTAAGACAAACAGCTCTGCGTGAAGAAGAAAGATTATGCAGTGCTCCTTTAACTCAGCATGTACCAGGTTCAGTCAGCCAACAGCACAGCTGGCCTTAACCTCAGCCCTGAACAGGATGCAAACCAAACTCCTTGTAATCCAGAGCCTGGTCCAGCATCGCTTTCTCCTGTCAGCATTTTGGTACCCATGTGAAGCACAGAGAGAGCAGTAGCAGCTGTGAAATGGTATGGTAGTATTAACCCTGCTGAGCAAAAGGGCGGTGAATAAGGATCAGTCAGTTAACTAAGCTGTTGTAATGGGATCTACAGATTTGTTTGCTGAACATCTGAAGGGGAACAAAGAGGGCCTTGAGACAAATGTGGGAGACCGCTAGGAGTGAGTGCAAGTGCACTGATGCTGGGGTTAGAGCAGGGGGCACCTAGTCCAGCCCAGCAGCCTGTCTGTCCATGGCCAAGGCAGGATGCCTGGAAAGAACACGAGACTGGGGAAAGCCCAGCATGCCCGTCCCCTGACCACATTCCCACCACCAGCATGTCACAACCCAGACATGCCTTGTTCACCTATGTGGCTTTAAGCAGCTCAAGGCCACGCGGTGTCCCAAGTTAAGCCATTGCTGACCTGCTCCCATATTAATAGGTGCTTTTTTTTCCTCGGGCAGGACAGAGGCAGGGAACAACACAGAACATGAGTGTCCTTATTCATCTTCCTGTTACTATATACTGAGTTTTACATGCAAAGAAAACCCAAACCCTAACATGGACCACTTTACCATTTTTGAAGACATTAGCTGCCCTTCTTACAGAAAGAAACTAATTGAATTGCTCTATGAATGCTCCTTCCTTGAAGGCAGAAAAGCAAACTTATGTAGAAACCAACAGAAAACCAACAAAAAACCCCCAACTTGACTAATTTCACCAAATACTTTTATCAAGAAAATAGCTATGTCAGACCAAGAAATGCTGGTGTCTTCAGAAATGAGCTATTGTTCATATGAGAATTGATTTCATTCATTTCCATTTTATCAATGGACGTAGCTGTAAGAAAGCTTGAAAAATATATGACGCTAAGTATCTCCCAAATTGACTTCGAAGTTGAGCTGGCCAGGGTGGCAGGTGTTGACCCGGTTCTTCTCACAACCTTGTTGCTGGAGGAACGTGGAGGTAGCTGGTGTCAGGCTTCTTGAGACCATGTGCTGGGTGAGGGGAGGAGCTTGTCTGACATCACACCAAGTTGTTAGTACCAGCAAGGTTTTTAAACAGCAGGTTTGTGAAAATTTGCAATTTTTGCTACAGTCTCAAGAAAATCATGGCAAAGAAAATGGAAGAGAACAGAACAGAATTCATGGTTTGTATTCTGCGTGTTGTGCAGGATGACCAAAAGTTGAATGCCACTGGAGATGGACCACACAGTCACCTTCTCAGTAAGACATGTACTACTCATCCCTAACATGCTTATTTTTTGACTCTCACTTGCTGTAGCTGACAACAGAAGTAAGCTTTTGGGGATAGTTTAAAAGCAGCAAGGAGGGCTGAACACACTGGGAGAGAAGGCATCACAAGCCATTCTCTTTTAAGCTTTATCTTTGTAAGATATTAAAAGCATTTTCCAAAAGAAAATGGAGTTACATATGATTACCTATGTTTATGTTGATGACAGACTCAGCTTACAACAGCAGAAATATCTTTTGTTTAGTCTTAGTCTTCTGAAAGATGCAGTCCAGTTTCGTGAGAGTGCCGCACTACATAGAGAATCTGTCTTTCCAGCCTCCAAAGCTAATTTTTTTTTTTTTCTGTAATTCCCTGTTTGTAACAGGTGTGGATGATGCACCAAGTTGAAAAATCACTTTGCTGGTAAGGAATCATTTTAGCTACCTGTTCCTTTAAATCCTGCTACAGATCTGCAAGTCAGCTTAATCACTACAGTTACGTTTCGTGTCCTGTAAGTGCTTAATGTAGTTGCAACAGAGTTTATCATTTAGTGTAAAGAGGGCAGTGACGCACAGTACAACTTTCAGCCCTGAGATACCAGGGCTGAAAATACCATTATAAAACAATCCTGTGGAAAGCGAGTCTGATGGAATCTGCTCCTTTCAGTTCTTCACCTCTGGGAGCAGAGAGCACCTTATTTACTGCAAAGTTGTGTGTGAAACATGGATACTCCAGAGAGCGCCCGAAACCCAGCCTCATCTTCCTGAAACGACTACTACAGATAGGCTGCCTGTAGGTGTCAGCCTCCTACTACAGAATGGCCAATATGCAAGTCAAGAGCAGGTGGGCTTTGTTTTGTTTTTTAAATCAAAGCAAACTCACATCACACCCGTTTTCCTTAAAAAGAAAAGAATAAAAAAAAAATCTCCAGTTTACTCCTGTTGTTACAGCTGAAGAGAGGGAGAACTAAAGACATTGCTCTCATGTTTAAGTTTCCCACATCTGTTTTTCTCAGAAATATCTCCATTAAAAAGATTAGCTTTAAATGATCACAACTGCATGCTCTGCAGCCACCCCAAGACTTCAGCAGCATAAGCAGCTTCAACCTTCTGCCTCCTTACATGTTCATCGCTTGTTTTTCTTCACCATTGCAATCAGACTCCTAGAGGGTAACACACCATCGAATACAACATGACCTAGCGCTTCTATACCAAAAACCAAAGGAGTTGTCATACCCTCGCTTGAAGAGAACTGTGGAAACAATATTTTCTATCCGAGTCTTGCAATATGACGATGCTAAATATAAACAATAGTTTAATGTAGAAGAGTTTGTTACCAAAACCTACTAAAAGAGAAGCAGGAAAGGCTATTAATTGCCTGTGATTCTGACAGTGCTCTATTTTCCTGAAGGGGTGCGAGGCAAACGGTGCCCGACTGCTGATCTAAAAAGCGATGAGGGAAGCGGTAGGTGTGAAGTCAGCTCTACATAAGTAGATCAGCTAACTAGGAGGAAACATTTTAATCTACCAGCTTAATTACAAGATAGGGGACTACACTGGGATAAACAATTAATAGCGAGCCTCATGGGTTAAATTTCGTTAAACAGATTTAATATTAAGTGGCCACCAAATAGAAGTAAACCTAGCTTAACTTTAAGAAAAAGATGGCATTCACATTACTATTGGATATGTGGCTTTGTAGCAAAATGCAGATTATTTAACTAGGTACACCTTTACCTTGCTCAGTTTTCTGCATAAATTCCACAATTTTCAAAATGAAGAATTTGTTTCATGTGGTGAAGTGAGCACGAATCCTGTAAAAAATAGAAAGGCAGCTTGTGTACTTAGAATTGCACAAACAAATCACTCTGGATGAAAATTCAGAATACAGTTTTTCATGTAACTCTGAATTAGACATCGTCCTTCCAGAGCAGGGCACAACGCAAGCCTACCTCCATCTGTCAATGAAATCTCAGATCTCACCCAAATACAGTGTTGTACACAGTTCATGAATTACAGGGCACAGAAGCTGATGTTGGTAACTTCTGGAAAAGTGAATATGGCTCTCGAAAAACAACCCAACCAACCAAAAAAGCCATAAGCCCCTCTAAATTTCTAAAGGCTTTTAAAACCAATTTGTTATAAAAATAATAATCCAGGAAGTATTTTGTGGTAAGAATATTTTATATATTTTTTTTTACACTTTTAACACTTACAAAAACATTCAAACAAAAAAATTAAATAACTTTGGAAGCAGAACAAGTCCTTCTGCCTACACACATACAACAATTCCGAGCTGTTGGCACAAAAAGTAATCCACATTCATAAAACCCTTACTACTATATCAAACATAAGTTAAGTAAATCATAGGCACTAGTTTATCAAATCCGTATTTCCACACTTCTGCAGTAAATCTCTAAACACAGAGCCCCATGATTTCCTGATATCAATAAACTGGTAACGCACAAAACAGTCTATCTTCGCAGGAAGTCGTTCACTGTATTTCAGGGGGAGAACAGCAGAGAAAAGAATCCTTATAAAACTTAAGCTGAACTTACCCAAGTGATGAATTACTTAACTTAAGGAAAGGTACATAACAGTTTGATGCAGCCATGGTAAAACCCCCAATATCGTCATCTAAACTGACTTTAGAAATTTAAAAGTCAATCAAGCATTTGATAAAATCCACCAATTAAAATTCACCTTTTTTCAATGAAGACTGCAGCATTGCTTTGTAAAACACTGAAAAGTTAAAATTCGAGCTTTAGCGAGAATATGCGCATTTGGTCTAGTCCTCTCTTCTGCTTAATGGTGACATGAGATACTAACTGACAGCCATTATCCGTGCCAGCGAAGGACGCAAGGCTAGATTGGTGGTATGTACTGGTCTACTGGTGCAAGGTAGTTTCTTTACCCGTGCTGAAATCTTACTGAATTACAGTATATTCGAAACCCTGACTTCAAAGTCTCAGCACAGATCTTGGTCTGGAGTGTGAAGTCATTCATCAACCCAAATTTTGCGTGAGTAATCAGAGCTGCAAATTAGTCTCCACTCCTTCCTATTTGGCTTCTTCCAAGTCAAGTAGTATTGCATGGCTTTTCATCCAGGAATATGTTAATGCTGGCCTAAAATTCAAGTGCTAGAATTTCAGGGTTAGTTATCCTCTTAGTGGTGGGAGTCAAAATACACCAGCAGTTCCAAACTCAGATACTAACGGGGTTGAAGGCTACCTACCGTCCAATCCAACTTGTAGTGTTCGCCAGTCATTGCACAAAGGATATACCATTCACATTCTCTTACTTCATCAACTGTACATCCAAAATACTGAAAAAGCTTCAAAGAAAATCCCTTCCATTTAACTAGTCCCACCCAATACAACTGTAGTTACAAATGTTTGCATGATGTCTTCCAAAACAGAAAACAATGGTTCAAATGCTAATCGTATGAATGAGTTGTTCTGAGCAAAATGCATTAGAATAAGTCAGAGCCACCAGAGGAATTTAACAGCTTGTAAACAGACATAGCAGGTTTCATACTCTGTTACCAGTAATGTAAGATACACGTATGTAAGGCAAAGTACATATTTAAACACACTTACATGGGCAATATCTTCTGTAAAAATATTTACAATTTAAAATAAACCAATTTAAGAAATGGATGAAAGTAAAAAAATAGGATACAGAAAACTCCCTCATACCATGGAACATCACCTAAATGAATATCATTTGGCATCAAGAGTCAACTCATTACCTTAAAATTTGTATGTTACAAGTGCATAGTTGTGTTTCCTTCTCCTTAACTATCAGCATTTACAGTTGCTCCAGGCTGCAAGCATAGTGGTATTGTATTAGAACAAATTAACATTACAACTTGCTCTTTCCTTTTTAAGGAAACCTGCTATAAAAAAAGTTTTTCCCAAATAGCGAGCCATGTGATAAAAATGTGGCTACAATAGCAAAGGCCATCTTTCCTGAGCCAGGAACTTCAAGGTTAGAAAGATTGTACAACTGATACTAAGCCCTTTTGGCAATCAAACATATAAGAGCATGTAAAGCTGATCATCAACATAGGAAAGATGCAATCTATACTATTGCATTTGTGTGTCTGCTACATTCAAACCTTTAATGTTAATAAAAGCCATGGCTACTAATTACTGTTCTGCCTAATCCTCCAGAGGAACTTCTGATTCTTTCTGAAGGACGTACGTACCACTTTCCCCAATGAAAATCTCATACAATTGTTAAAAGCAATGTTTCACTAGCACTGTAGCAGTCTGCAATCAGAGTATTAGCTCTGATTAACATAGCCTTGTTTCAATAGTAAATATTCACCAATCTTTCTGCTGAATTAAAACGGGCTGAAAATGAAGTTTTGGACAATGTAAGTTGACTGTTATACTTGCTGTTTTTCAAGATGGGCATTTCTTTGGCATTCGTTAGGTTTTTGCCCAGACATTGGCCACTGTCATAAATGCTCATATTGATACACCTTTAGCAAGCAAGAAAAAAAACCCAGAACTGATAGCAATTTAATGTAGAAGTGATTGTATGATCACCAAACATCTGATGTTAGATGTCATTAAAGTGCTGCTTTATAATCTCTGCCAGTTTGTGCTAATTAGAGACAGAGAGGTCTGGAATTTTTACAAATCCCAAAAGTCACATCTGAACAGTTTGTATAATCAAGCTGTCTTTAGCCTGGTGAGGAAGCATCCATGAGCACTGGAACTTTGCATTAAGCTTTGCAGTTCAGTAGCAGCCATCTTTCCAACTCTCGTCTTTCACGTTGCCATAGGTTTTGGGAGTGGGTAATGATCTAAAATAAAATGAGATATTTTTCAGTTTCATACATAACTGCTGAAATCTCCATCTACAATACATAAGAATTTAAACATTTTATAAATAATTGAAATATACACTTCACTCATTTACTTCTCTGCAATATAGTTTACTTCAGATAAACCCCAAAGTATTTTCAGTTTCACGTTCTGTGTTGCATATCTTGGCAACTACCATGTCAGAAAAACATCTGCATAAACAGAAAACTTTTTGCTATTATACTCTGTGAGAATACAAACTTAATCTGCTGCCATCTAAAAATATGCCTTTTTGTCAGTGATGTATAAACAGTGAAATCCTTGTTTAGAGTATTACATTTTGCTTACATCAAAATCTTGACATTCATAGATGCTTCATTATTGCATTGTGTACAGATACTGCATTATGTACGTAAACTTTCAAGAAAAAATAGCTGTATAAGTTTAATAAGTGAAACACTTTTCTATAAGATAAGTTGTGATTTGGACAACCACACTTCGCTACTATTAAGGACTTCCTGTCAAACACAACTGCTTTTTATTACACGAAGTTTCATACTGCTGAGAGTGCAGACTCGGAGTGCAAAACAGTCAATATGTGACAGTCACTTGTCATTCCCCTGCCAAGCACTCATTGCAGAACAGAACTCCTCCACTTTGCCATTTACTGCTGTTTCATCTTTTCTGCGGTACTGAAGACCAACTGTTTATCCTTTCTGTTTAACGGGATTCTTAATATTCCTCATGGATGACTGCTTCTTTACGTCAGTTGGCTTCCACTTGATACCTTCAGTGAAAATCCACATTAGCATGGCATTAAGAGCACATATTCTAAATTATGCATCGCTTCCTTCTGATTCTCCTGAAGACAAATTGTCCATATGTGTAGCCTTTCCAGTTAATATTTAGTCTCTCTTTTGGTTGTTTTCCAAAGCACTCATACATTAAGCAACTTATACAGCTGAGTGCTAGCACAGAGGTTATATTTGAGCTGAAAATTCTGTTTTGTCCTGTGGGTTAACTGCATTTATTTTTATGTTACATTTAGCAAGTGCTATGGATGCCTCCTCCATCCTGATGTGTCTTCCCTCCTAAAGTTTCTAGCTGCCCAAAGAGAGAAACTGTTCTCACCATGGTACCACTGCTTGACATATGGATTACAAAAGGAACTGCAATAGTTCTGACTTCAGAACGTGTCACTCAGTGGTACAATTTAATTTTCAGTTGCCAGCTATATTTTGATGACTTTTTACCACATGCAGACCAATTTTTATTGCCTTCTCAGCCCAGACTAAGACAACTCTTTTTAGAGTTCAGTATCTTTTGTTATTCACTTCACTTTCACTCCTTCACCTTCACTCTCTAACTCGAGAACCTTTTTCTCTTGGTTTTGCTTTAAACCTATTTTGGAAAAACAGTCAAATTCTTCACGTAGAGGTCTCCATTTCCATTCTAAATACCTTGAGACCAAAATAAGAATTGCAGCACAAATACACAATGTACAAAATTCATTATGAAAACTTCAAACTGAGACTGCCCTGTCACATACTCACCTGCGAACAGGCTGTGCAAGTTTGCTACGAGGCACTGGGATGCCCCCTGAAGAAGGGGCACTGGGTCTGGGCAAACCACTCCTCATCCCTGCTGTCCCTGCCGGTCTGGTAAGAGTAGTACTGTTAATACTGCTGGCAGGGCTTGGCAAGCCTGAACTCTGGCCTGCAAGAGGCCCTGGTGAAGAACTACTGTGTGTCAGCTGCATGGCTTCTGGAGAAGCAACTGAACCGGGTCCATGGTTACTAAATGCTTTCACTGGTTGTCGGAGAGCTAGGGGAGATGGTGCTGCAGGTGAGCGGAATTTACTTGAAGAAGGTACTGGAAAATAAAATACAGAAGTAACTTTCAAGCTTAAGTTACAGTATAACTGAAATTAAAAACAGGAAATTACTTAATGTGAAAATTCAAACAATATGGAATGTATAATGGAATACAGCCAATCGAGCAGCAATGAGAAACAGGAATTCAGATGTCCTCTTTTTCATGTGTTTTTGATATCGTAACTCTAATGCCCCATTTGTTTATTACAAATATTTATTTTTCTGCATTTATAAGTAATACTAGTCAGGCTCTAAGCATTATAACAGTCAAGTCAAAAGAAACAGAGGATAACATATTTGTTAAGAAATTTAGCTGCTTCAGAAACTCGTGAACCTAACTACCATCCCTGAAAAAACACGCTGAATACAGGATTCTAGTGTGATACAGTCTTTAAATAGATTCAAAGTATGTGTCAGCTTTCAGTGATGAAATTCTGAGCGCAGAGCATCTTAATGTTTCTTTTATGCTCTTCTCTTTAACCAAATCCATTGAATTAAACTTCACCTAAAGATATGGTCATGTCCCAGATTTATTGGCTGACGGGGGGAAAAAAGATAAGGTCAGCCGACCCCCAACACCAAAGAGATGAAGGTGCTGCTATGTAACTTCAACCAGACAACTATAACAATTTATAGCCGCCGCCTTCTTACAAACATTATCTAAATTATCAGTATAACTAATATCTGAATTCAAATACTCTGTATCTGAGTTAGTATGTGAAATATAGTTCTCTATCAAGTCCCTTCTGGGAAAGGTTAATAAGCCAGTGAAAATACATTTAGAGGCTTGGACTTACAATACAGCACATTGTCTATGCAACAAGGTGCACATGCAAATGTACCCCACTAACAATTTATTTTTGTACGATATATCTATTTTACTCAATGCTATTAATGCAACAGCAAGAATTCTTATTTATTATATACTCCGGAATTACTTCTGAATTTTAGTAGACAGCTAGCAGTGAATGACAACTGATCCTCGCAGCAAAAATACTGACAAAAAGACTACTCAACAGTTCTTTGATAATGCCAAACCTTAAGCACAATTCTTCATGAGTATGAGAAATATTTTCAAAATATGCATAATGTATCACTAAACAGAATACTTAAATTAATCCATCATCTTAATAATTAAATGGTATTTCATCAGCTTTTCAAACTGATTAGGGTAGGTCAGTAACAGTCAACAATCAGGAAAGTAAAACAAAATCACGTTTACATTTAGTGAATTTGCATGAACTTATTTCCTCCACTAAATAAACTTTTTTACACAGAGACCTAAGTTCAGTCCTCTTTGACAGATGCTTTATATAAAGAAGATGGTCCTTCACATGGCTTTTATTATCATTTTACAAGGTATATCCACTAAGAGCATGAGGAGTGAGAGAAGGGACAAGTAATGACAGGGTACAGAGGAAGTGGTGGTTTTCAGGTTGTATTTTGAAGCCATTCCTTACAGGGCATGTCTAGGAAGATGATTATGTGCCTCACTGAAGATGTGAAGTGGATCTGATTCTTTTCCGGATTACCCAAGAGGGCCTTTCCACTGATAGCGATATCAAACACAGCATGAAGCCGCTCATGGGAAAAGCTGACAAAAAAGCTGGCAGAGATGTCAACGATACATGACAGTTGGTAAGTATCGAGGAGAATAAATAAAAACCCTTAAAATAAAAACCTTGGCGTCAAGCCAGAGAACGGATTAAGGAAAGCATTAACAGCAGAATGACTGGACAAGAAGAGCAGTGAAGTGCTCCTAGAACTAAGATAGAATACATATTAGAAGTTTTTAAAATGTGACATTGCCTGTAACGTTGGTGCAATCGAATCTGCAGAATTTCGAAGTGATTCTACACTGTAAACATAGGGAGCTTTTATCACTGAACTTCTCATTACACCACTTGTTTGGAACACAAACACAGCATCATGTTAGCAACTGACCAACAGAGCAGTGCCAGTGTATAAAAACTGAATATAGCTTTGAGCCTCTTACAGGCACAGCAGGGAAAAGGTTTTTAGGTATAGAATATAAGCAATGAAAAGTTGTAACTGAATAACGCTTGTCACATTCCCAGTGAAAGTAAGCATCCAGTAAATTAGCCCTCTCCATTCTCTCCAGTTTTCTGTTGACCATATTTTACCATGCTTCCAAATAGAGCTGTCAATTCATAAAACATTTCCTGTCAGCACAGCACTGCAAACGTTGCTGAGAGCTGTATTCATTCTTGTACATAAAGGAATGAATTGTCTTCCAGTGTGCTGTGATCTCCAAAACAGTCCACATGATGCAATCTCTGGCAAACTGCCTAATAATTCTCCTCTACTTATAAAGAATTTTGTCTTAGAGCAGTTTTAGATATTTATAAACTCAGTTTGGCCTATTTGTAAGACAGATCACAAAGAGTGAGGTACTGCCTTAGTCAAAGACTGTCTGATAATTGTATACTGTACTGGTTCTGGCTGGGATAGAGTTAATTTTCTTCATAGTAGCTAGTATGGGGCTATGTTTTGGATTTGTGCTGGAAACAGTGTTGATGATACAGAGGTATTTTTGTTCTTGCTGAGCAGTGCTTACACAGTCAAGGCCTTTTCTGCTTCTCACACCACCCCACCAGCGAGCAGGCTGGGGGTGCACAAGAAGCTGGGAGGGGGCACAGCCGGGACAGCTGACCCCAACTGACCACAGGGATATTCCATACCGTATGATGTCATGCTCAGCATCTAAAGCTGGGGGAAGAAGAAGGAAGGGGGGGTGGACGGGACACATTCGGAGTGATAGCATTTTGTCTTCCCAAGTAACCGTTAGGCATGATGGAGCCCTGCTTTCCTGGCAATGGTTGAACACCTGCCTGCCGATGGGAAGGAGTGAATGAATTCCTTGTTTTGCTTTGCTTGCATGTGCAACTTTTGCTTTACCTGTTAAACTGTCTTTATCTCAACCCACAAGTTTTCTCACTTTTACCCTTTTGATTCTCTCCCCCATCCCACCAGGGAGGTGGGGGGGAGTGAGTGAGCGGCTGCGTGGTGCTTAGTTGCTGGCTGGGATTAAACCACAATATATATCCATGTGCAGTATTGAGCTGATCCATATTTAATAAAAACACGTAAACGTGTAAGGGTAGAGCTTAACAAACTTTACGCAACTCTATCTCCTTAGAAACTAAACAACTAGAACCAACTACAATTAAAACATCTGGCAACAATAAAAATAAATGGCACTGTGCAGTCACGACATTTAGATTTCCCACCCTCTCTGGATTCTGTCCTGGATTGTGGGCAGGGAGCAAGAGATCCCCACCTGAAAGTAGGATGCTGTTAAGCTACAACCTTATCTGGCTTGCACTCCAAGGCCAGCTACTGCACACTGACTTGAAACCAGAATAAATTCGATGCAGTTAAATCATAACCATCATGATGAGATGATTCAGACTGATACGAAAGAACAGATGAGGTAAAATGACGGGAATCAACAAACTGTTCTGTCATCTCAGTACAAGACAGACACGGACCTGTTGGAGTGGGTCCAGAGGAGGGCCACAAAAATGATCAGAGGGATGGAACACCTCTCCTATGAAGAAAGGCTGAGAGAGTTGGGGTTGTTCAGCCTGGAGAAGAGAAGGCTCCAGGGAGACCTTATTGCAGCCTTTCAGTACTTAAAGCGGGCTTATAAGAAAGATGGGGACAGGCTTTTTAGTAGGGCCTAGAGTGATGGTTTTAAACTAAAAGAAGGTAGATTCAGACTAGATATAAGGAAGAAATTTTTTACAATAAGGGTGATAAACCACTGGAACAGGTTGCCCAGAGGTTGTAGATGCCCCATCCCTGGAAACATTCAAGGTTAGGTTGGACAGGGCTCTGAGCAACCTGAGCTAGTTGAAGATGTCCCTGCCCATGGCAGGGGGGTTGGATTAGGTGACCCAAACCATTCTGTGATTCTATGATCTGACTGATACGGGATTGCTGTATAAGCCTTAACAAATCTGTTACAGTGAGGTAAAGAGTTCGTTATTTGAATGTATTTTGAACTGTTCTACACAAAGTGATAAAAAAAGCCAACATCTGTGTGTGAAAGGTGTCAAGCTACGTAGTGAACAGTATTTTAAGAAACTAAACCCAATTGTTGCTTATAGTTGTTTATTCTTTTGAAGCAAAAGTCAGTTCATTACTGCATAATGCTTCTATACTTGTGAGAATCTCAGATCAGAAGCAAGAAAAATCAACACATAAAGGCCTATAAAATAGCAAATAACGAAAGGACATGCTGGGTCCTCATTTGCAGTGAGGAATGACAGCAGCTATAAACTGGAATACGTAACTGGCAGTGCAACATGTTCTCTAAGGTTTAATAAAATTTTACGAATAATATAAACTCAAAGAGAAGTTAATTTTCTGTACACTTCCACAGCTCCAGACTAGGCCATATACCTAACCTAGTAAGTGTTCCAGACATCCAGATGAAGGTAAAGGCATGGCCAACTGGAAAGACAGCACAGAAAGCTTTGCAGGGGAATCGAGACGGTGGTCTTATGCCAAAGCAGAACATTGAAAGAACTTTTCTCCATTTGGTATGGAATATTATGAAGACTTGGAAACCTCCTATTAAGCCATGTGAATCTGTTTCAAAGTCATTATACTTTGCTAAAACTTTCTGCATGGAATTAAGTTGACTCAAAGAAGTTAGCATTGTTAAATCACTGAGAGGAAGACGTGTTTTATCAGCCACCCTCATAATCCTTAAGGATTCTAGCATATATAGAGTTTATGAACTGGTCTCAAGTGAAATATGATCTTTAAAATGAGATCTTCTAGATTGTAATAGACAACAGGACCAACTATGCTTAAAACCAAAATCAATTTCTTGTTTTATCTTAGTAGTGAAATTGAGGCAGTGTCACATACAAGGTTGCCAGAATTAATTAAAAATCAGTTAAAACTTGTCGACTTGAATTAGAGGCTCAACATATTTCATTTTCTTCTCAAAAAGAAGCAAACTTC